GGGTTTTGTCGGAGGTGGGATTGGTTAGAGGATAAAAGCACATGAAAAAGAGTTGTATTTGACTTTTAGTTATTAGTTATGTTACCTTGGGCAAGTTATCTGACCTCTTTGAACTTCAGCATCCTTTTCGTAAGACTGGTTTAATGAAAGTGTCCCAGGGGGCTATTGGGAGGATGATGAAGCGATCTGTGCAAAGCACCAGCACAGTGCCAGTCACGTACTAAGTGCTCTCGTACCAGCCCCACACCCCACCACCCCTAAACTGCCACCAAAACTGTGTACCAGATGTAGTATTCTTCAGGCTTTTCTGGATGTCAACTTCATTTTCAAATTTTAAATTCCAAATAATTATTTTTTGCCAAAACAAACTGTATTTAAAGAATGTTCTTTTTGTGCCTTCTTGCCTACCCATTCTCGTGGATCTTTCTGTTCTGCGAGATGAATAAAGGAAGCATCACTTGCAGTTTCTTGGACCACATTCTAGAAATAACTACTGTATGTGACTGGAGGTTTCCTTTTTGAGGTCGGTCATGCCTGTGTCTCTTTTACGGAACTATTATTTATTTTAGTTATTTCGATAAACCAAATTGCAGAATAAGTCCAGCTCTGCCTCTGACTTGTGACCAAGTCACTTGACCTTTGAGCCCACTTTCCTCAGTTGAATGAACAGCACAGATCAAATGGTTCCTAAGACCCTTGTCCCCTTTTATGTTGTGATTTAAAAAATTTCTTTATTCAGGAGCACAGCTGGAAATGGTGTGCAGGTCCCCGTTCTCAACAGCAGAGGGCACAATGCCCCAGTGTGCTGGGCCTTTCGGTTTTGGAAACTACATCTATGCAGCTGGAAGTTGATATCCTTGGTGATAGGAAGGAGCCAAGAAAATTCTGTAATGTTTTGCAAAGGAGATTTCACTGCCTGTTTCTAGCTATTTAATATTTAGGTGAAGCACTCAAAAAAAAAAAACTAGGCAATCTCGACATTCTAAGGGTACTTCCTGTAATTCTGTGAAGAGCTTCATTATCTCTTCACCTTACTTACCCCATTTAAGTACTCTATGCTTAGGATTGGTGTGCAAATGGAATGGAGAGAACTAATATTTATTGAGCACTAATTATATATTGACCTATATTTGGTACTTCAGGTGCAATTTCTCTAATCCTCACAGCAATCCTTTGAATTATGTGTTATTATCCTTAGTTTATAGAGGAAGACACTAGGGCTCAGAGAGGTTAAGTGACTTGCTTGAGACCTCGCAGTAGAAATTCAAGTTCAGGTTCGTTAACTCTCAAACCTGCTTTCTTTCTATCATCCCCAGGGTTCCTACCCCTTTCCTCCAATCCAAACAATTAGGGATTTTTGCGAGGAGCAGGTGTGCCCTGAGAGTGGCCACAGAGGAAGCTTGACTTTCGGTGGTTTTGAAGTTCTTGTGGCCTCTGTTTTTCTAGATGGAAGCTTTTCCTCTGGCAAGAATTTTTTTGCCATTTATTTTAACATGATATATACAAACACATACCCATGTTTTCAAATTGGAAACCTTTAGACTGAAATGTTTTTCCTTGTGGGATACTTTTAAGGGTACAGCCATATCTCACTTTATAAGAAGGCTAGGTTCTAAAGTCAGTGGGTAAGATGAAAATCACTATGGCAAAATTGTCTTTGAAAATCCCACAGGAAGGCATCTTGTTAGAGTCATATACAGTAATACCTTGGTTTGCAAGCATAATTCATTCCAGAAACAAACTACTCGTACTGCAAGACATTGGTCGTTTACCAAGTTAAAAATGTCTTATTAGGTTGGTGCAAAAGTAATTGTGGCTTTTACCATTACAAGTAATAGCAAAAACCACAGTTACTTTTGCACCAACCTAATAGAAATGTTTGCTCGTCTTGTAGAGCACTCGCAAACCAAGTCACTCGCAATCCAAGGTTTTACTGTATTTCCTTTCTTAAGTTCCACACAGCCAAGCTTTCCTCCCCTATTGAAATTGATCATGATTTTTCCTGTTCAGTTTCAGATGATACAGTTGGCTTGTATTTGGGGGCGATGTTGGGTGGTAATTCACGTCCTTAAAACACCATAGTCTTATTCAGCATGGTGAGATGCTTACAGTATAAGAGGTATTCTAAAACCTAGATCAAAACAAGGAATAGTGGATTCATGTCTTATTTGGGGGCTTCTGCTAACTCAATGGTTCTCCAAACCAGCCGTGCACCAGAAATCACTGGAGAGCTTGTTAAAATACAGATGCCTAGGTTCTACCCCCACAGTGTCTGAGTCAGTATGTCTGTGATTCAGCCAGAGGATTTGAATTTCTAACCGCTTCTGAGGCGTTGCTGTTCCTCCAGGGACCTCACATGGAGAACAACTGTACTTATTGAATGGAAGCAGGTGGAATCACTTGTCTATCTTCCCTTCGCTGTCTGTCTGTCTGTCTGTCTTGCTCTTTTATTTTTAGGCTGAGTGGTATTCGTTAAAGTTAAGTGCAGGGGTTGTGGCTCAGCCAACTCTTTATCCTGTTGCTTAGCTTATAGGTTGGCCCAGAACAAGTACTTGGCCCATTCAATAATTGCTTGTTGAATGAATGATTGAGTGAGTTAGCATATATAATGGGAGTGGTTTTTAGCACATGGACATCATAATTATATAGGTGCTCTGTACAAACTGCTTATTTTCTGGAAGGTAGGCAGTCTTTAGTTTAAAATAGCGTATATTTAGGACTATATATAGCAATGATCATAGAAATCAGGAAGTATGCAATTAGGTGCAGTTTTGTGAAGCTTGCATTTTGGGACCTTTGATATGAATGTGAAGAGTGTCTGTGTGTAGATGTAGTTCAGTACAGGGAGTCCCGTTTGTTTTAGAGTGGCTTAGGGAAGTCTTAGGTCAGAACCCACTCCTGTCCCAAGGAGGCACGAGCTGCACCAGATCAGCCTATGTCTGTCGCTGCATTCTCAATCCTGTCTCCCGAAAGCACGGGGGCATTTAGCCCCCATGATCCTAAAGAGTCAGTGGGGCTCTGTACTGTGGGGTAACTGTCAATTCAGATAACCGTACATGAATCTTACTGTGTTATAGGATCTGATTATATTTTAAATGGTGAGTTTATTAAGTGAAGGAGGAATATCTCAAAAAATGTATTCAAAATTCATTTTAAGCTTAACAGTATCATTTTTAACATGTTTAATGTTATTTGTCTTGCAAAGTCTCAGTATCCTGTGTGTTTTGTCCCTTTTAGTATAGATTAAATTTTCTTCCTTTAAATTCATTTTACTTTTTTATGCTGAAGTATTTTCAAGTAAATTACAGAAAGCTTGACATTCTAATTCAAAATTCTTCTATTGCAGTTGTAAAAAATAAAAAACCTTTTCTTACATAGCCAAAATAATATAATCACTCCTAAGAAAATTAACAAGTTCTTATTAGTATCTAGTACCTAGTCCTTATTCAGATTAACCTAGTTGTCCCCAAATTGTCATTTATACCTTGTTTTTTCAAAGCAGGATACACTCTGGAATCATGCATTGCACCTTGTTATTATGTTCCTTAAAATTAATTTAATCTAAAACAGTCCTCTTTTAATGACATTGCCTTGCAAAATGTCCCACTTTTGGATTTGTCTCATTGCCTCTTCAGAGTGTCTTCAGCTTGTTCTACCCTGTGTGTGTTTCTTGGAAACTGCAAGTTAGATCTAAAGGCTGGACTAAGATACAATTGAACATGTTTGACCAGAATTCATCATAGGTGATATGTGCTTCGTGTGTACCACATGAGGAGATGCATAATCCCTGCCTACCTCACCATTAGTGATGCTAACATTGATCATTAGATTAAGGTGATGACAGCCTGATCCTTCCTTTGTGAAGTTACAAATTCCCCTTGTTATGAGAGTATTCTCTATGGTATTACTTGGGCCCTTATACGAATGTTTCATTTCTCTATCATCCATTCTCCTAATGCTTTAACACCTTTTGGTAATTTTTGCCTGAATCAGTAACTTTATTAGGGTTTACAAAACTATCATTTTTCTAATTCTGTCATTACTTCTGCAATCGCTGACATTTGATTAAACAGAGCTCTTTTTCATCAGCTGGGACTATTTGGTACCCTGAAATACAATTCTGTTGGAAAGGCAGGTTAAATGTTGAGTTCTTTACTTTTTTATTCCAAAGTTCAAAGTAAGGAATTGATTTAATAGATACATTAAATGATGGGAAATGAATATTTTTCTTGATTTCTCTTTTTTGATATCCTTATGGACTAATGGATTTTCATGAATTGAATAGTTTAATCAACTACAATTATTATTCTTTTTATGTTCAATTTGTTTTATATTCAATTTGTTAAGACTTTAGCCAATGATAGTCTCTATGTCTCCTAGGTCTGTTAGACATAACTCCATTCATTTTGCGTACTTCCTTGAACAGCAAGATGCATAGGTTGATCTAGTCGCTTCCTTTTCCCAAATGTCATTCAGCCACGTCATTAACAAGACCTAGTTCCTTTTAGTGGGGAAAGGTATTAGACACCAATATATTGGCCCTTGGAATGTCAGATGTTACTGGGGTGACAATGTTTACAGAACTTTTCAGTGGCTGTTTGGTTGTTGAATTTTGAAATTCAAAGTTTGGATAATGAAAATTCAGATAGTAAGGGATATCTGTATTTTAATAATTAATGGGTTCACATTATTTCAAATTCAATTTAAACATTATTGTGTTTTAAAGTAATTACTTGATTTTATAATTGTATCTTTTCTCTTACACTGAAAATCTTGACCACCAATAACATTGCTTTATCTTACAATATAAAGAAAATAATTTCAAAATAACAGTATCAGTATTACTACTACTAATAAAACCAAGTAAAGTTTAAATTTTTTTGTGATTTTTGTAGCATAGGTTGATTTTAATGGAAGAATAAATTTAGTTACTTTTTGTTGATCTCATTTGTTGATCTTTCCTTTGAAATATGTGTTGTCTTTTTGTTTTTTTGTCATAGGTTGACCATTTTGGATTTAGCACTGATAAAACTTTTAAACAGCGGTACCTAATAGCTGATAAATACTGGAAGAAAGATGGTGGATCAATACTTTTCTACACTGGTAATGAAGGGGACATTATCTGGTTTTGCAATAATACGGTATGTGTAGATTTGTGAAATTTCTATGCTCTATTTGCCTTTTGTTCTGATAAAGTGGAAAAAATATTTTGCAGTTTATCTGTGACCAAGTTTTACTGTACTTAATTGTTGAGTTCTTTAAAACAAAATAACAAAAAAAGATAAACTCAGTAATAAAAAAACAGCAAAAGAACATGAATAGGCAGTTCACAAAATAATAAATAGAAATAGAGATAGCCAATAAACCTGCATGTTTATCAGCCTTAAAGAATTACACATAAAAAGAATGAAATGCTATTGTTGAGGACAGTTGAATTGTTTTGGTTTCTTTTTAAAGATTTTATTGGAGAAGGGAAACAGTGTTGTTTTTTTTTCCAGGACCCTTCAGCTCCAAGTCAACTAGTTGTTCCAATCTAGTTGTGGAGGGCGCATCTCGGTCAATTAGAGTAGTTGTTCTCATTCTAGTTGTGGAGGGTGCAGCTCAGCTCCAAGTCCAGTTGCCATTTTCAATCTAGTTGCATGGGGTGTAGCCAACCATCCCATGGGAGAATTGAACCGGCAACCTTGTTGTTGTTAAAAGCATGCACTCTAACTAACTGAGCTAACCCGGCGGCGGCCATGGACAATTGAATTTGAAAAGTTTTTTGGTTTTTTGTTTTTTTTTTAAAGATTTTTATTGGGGAATTGGGGGGATGGGAACAGTGCTGGGGAATTGGGGGAAGGGGAACAGACAAGTTGCTGTCGTTTTGTTCTTCAGTCTAGTTGTGGAGGACGTTGCTTCACTGGCCCAAGTTGGCACCATCATTGCGCTCTTCCCGGGCGAGGCACATCAGTCACCGGCTTCTGGACGGCCACTCGCTGCGGCTGCTGGCCGCTCACACTGGCTGCTGGCTACATACAATAGCCCATGGCAACCCACTGCCACGGGCTGCAGCCTACGCCGTTGCCGGCGACTCACGGCAGCCCAGCTCCAGGTTGAGCTGTTGTTCAGCATCTTAGCTGTGGAGGGCAGTGTCACTGGCCCTCATATGTGGGATCCGAACCGGGGCCCTCTGGTGTCCCAAGCCAGTTCTTAACCATCGTGCCACTCGGCCGGCCCTGAAAAGATTTTTTTTAAATCCCACCTTATTTCTAGAATGAACAAGGATATGGGAATAAGAGTGCTATGGCATTTAGTTTTTTATTTTATTTTTATTATGGTCTTTAGAATGTAAATACAAGGGCAGGAATATTTGTATGTTTTTTAAGTAGTATATTCTCAGAGTCCAGGACTGCTAGGCATATAGTAGGTTCTCAGTAAATATTTGTAGAATAAGTGAAACCTAATCAAAGCCAATGCAAATAAGAAAAAAAAATACAAGATTAATTGTCAAATAGGAATGGACAAAGGTAAAGTTGTAACAACGTTTTAATTTACCTTTACTACTATTCTACCATTTTTCTTATTTTTTGAGGGTAAAAAATGATATAGCTGTTAGCTTACTTCCCTGACTATATTTACTCTTTTATAATCCATTAACAAAACTTAATTTAGAAGGACACATGAAAGGAAAAAATTTTTCTATTTAATGTGACAGAGGTATGACTAGAAAATGTCAACTTTCTACCAAAAACCTAGTCTGTGAATTACCTTAAAGTGGGGACTGAATCATATTTTCTCTACTGCTAATGTCTAGCATGATGCCTGATATTCAGGAGGTCTCCATAAATGTTTGTTGAACTGAACTAAATTGAAAGCAAAGATATGAGCCCAATTATACTGTGTTATTGCATGCCATATTTCTGATTATTTCCTTAGGAATGTTAAGAGTCTAAATATGTTAGTTGAAAATAAAGTAATTCCCTGAGAAATGAGATGCTAGGATGTCTATTTCTCTTAGATCAGTGACAAGTGAAATCAGAATTTATTTTCCATCAGATTCCTGCTGTGGTATTCTGTGAAACAACCAAGTCTGCCTTGTCTTCCTTTCTCTGTCTCGTGTGACTTCCCTTTTATGCCAAGGCGATAGGGCAGCTTCTCCTGTCCAGTTATTTCCCCAGCTCCTCTTCTTCCTTATTATAGGCAGGCAGCTGTTCCTGCCTCTACCAGACCCTCCCTGCTCTGACTGGCAGTGCAGCATAACAGAAGGCTTGCCAGGGAATCTAACCTCAGAAGTCGTAGAAAGGAAGAAATACTCAGTGTAGGAACAGTTCCAGAGAACTGACTAGAGGCAGATCTAGAAGGACAGATCCCGGTCCTTTCCCAGTGCTACACACCTTGCTTTACATGCTAAAATGTTCCAATTGCAGTTACAAACTCTAGATATTCATTTATTAAGGGGCAGTATATCATAATGGTCAAGAGTGAAGATTTCAACCAGACTCATCAGGTTTGAATTCTGGTTTGGCCACTATGTTGTGTGACTTTGGACAAGTTTCTTGTTGTGTGCCTCAGTTTTCTCATCTGTTAAATGGGTACAGTAATGTCTCATTTAAAGAGTTGTTGAGGGCTAAATAAGAATCAGGAAATCTTTTAAAAAAATCAGGAACTTAGAACAATGCTGGCACATAATGTTATTAATGTTAATATATTGCATGACTCTCTTGAAAAATAAAAATATCCCTGAAGTAAGGGTAAATAATCACTTATTATAGTATGAATCAGTTAAATTAAATTGTTTTCTCTCAAATTTGGGGGTCAGCTTCACAGAGGCCTGGCTGTTTTAATGGACAGTCCTTACCCTTAAGAAGCTCATAGCCTGTAGGATAAGACACACATGTAGGCAAATATTGCACCATAATAGTACAGATCTAAACCTAGCACAATGGTGTTGAGAGGAGGGAGAGATCAGGGTGTGGCAGGCAGAGGATGGCGTGCTTCAACTGGGAGTCACAGGATCTACAGATAAATGGCAAGGAGTGAGCAGGACGGACGTTAAGAGAAAAGTTGGGGTTTTTGAAATTACCACAGATACCGTGTTCTTCATTCTCACATGCACGCACCTCTTTTAATTGTTCATTTATTGATTAAAAAGCAAAAATTTTAGACTTTTCTTAGTCCTTGTTATGGAGCAGCAGCTCATTGAAAAGCAAAAATCTGCACTCGGAATGACATATAGTTTTTTTTGTTTGTTTGTTTGTTTTTATTAGTTTCAGGTGTACAGAACAATGCAATAGTAACAGATAGTTTTAATGTATGCTAAATCTAAACCTGATTGATGTTGGCTGCCTAGAATGCTTTGTTGAAAAGGATTCTGAGGGCACACCTGAGATAAATGACAAAATGCAGTGCTTGATTAATGACCAGCATTACATGTGGAAACACGGATGCCTTACAGCACTTGATGATTGTGCTCTGGAGCCAGACAGCCTGTGTTTGAATTTTGGCATCGCCATGTCCTAGCTGTATGACTGTGGCAGGAAACTCCTGTGCCTCAGTGTCCTTGTCTATAAAATGGGGATAATCAAAATGCATATCTCTTAGATTGTTGTGAAAATTAAGTGAATTAATACATATAAAGTGTTTAGAACAGTGCCTGACACATTGTAAGCACTCAATTAATACTAGCTATTGCTAGTTGCTATTTATTTTCAAGTAAATAAGATTAATATAAAAGTGAGTCTAGGATGTTTATTTGTACTGTTTTCTCTTTTACGTTGTAAATGTCTATGAGTAAGCATCAAACTTAGATATCTGCAGCTCTTTCTTAGACTATTTGGCTCACAGTACAATTTGAAGACCATTTTTGACATAATGTTGATTCTATGGCTAGAGTATTAGAATAAGGAGACTTGGAATGACTTGTGGTTGAGCACTTTGGGCTTACTTTTAATTGTTTCACTCTAATACAGGGTGAGATTGATAATGCAACAGTGAAACAGCCATTATATCATTTCTCTGTAGAACAAATATAAATTATGTGGATTCTCAGAGAGCTCTTTTTGGTCTGATTTAACATCTTTTTCATATGCATTAAAAAAAGGTTCAGTGACTTTTTCATATCCTGATTTTATCCTCTGAATTTGTAAATTCTTCCTAGGGGTTCATGTGGGATGTGGCTGAGGAACTGAAAGCTATGTTGGTATTTGCTGAACATCGGTACTATGGCCAGTCTCTGCCCTTTGGTGTCAACTCATTCAAGGTAAGTATACTTTTTACCTCTAAGTTTAAAATACATATTTTTTAAATTTTAGAACATTTTCTAATTACAATTTCCACTGTAAGAAAGAAATGATAGCTATAACTTGAACTGCCTGAAATTTCAATAATTTATATTTAATCTTTCATTTTTATATACAATTTGAACAGATTGAGACTTTTTCAAACCATATTATTTTCATTTCTAATGTTGATCAGTCTTTAACTCAGTGTGATGAGGCTAGCCTTCACAGGTCAATCTTCATTTATGGCTGCAGAGACTATGGAGGGAACTTTTCATTGTTTCAAAAATGTCAGTAAGCAATTCTGCTTTATAAATTATACACTTAAATTATTGGGTCTATCACTGGAAAAAATGTAATGTTTGTTTAATAAAGTGTTTTTCAGTAACATAAAATCAAACAATCTCTGTGATTCAATGAGGCCACCAGCCCACTTGAATTTCCTTCTGGCCTTTCTTATTCTCAAAAGGAGCTTTGGCCTTGGCCACAGACTCTACACCTAATAAACCAGGACACTTTTTCCTTAGCTGAGTCATTCATGTACTATATTTGTGATTCTGGCTATATGATTTTGCCATCTATGCTATTATTTAATATTTTTCTTTAACCAATTCACAGTTCAAATTTAGTATTACCTTAACAAAGGCTTTATATACTAGTTATTTTTTTCTAAATTACATTAAAATAAAAGAAGTATTAAATTAAAGATGTTTGTAATACCTAAGATCATTATACATACTGCCAAAATACACATGCCATTCTTTTGGGGAACTCTGAGTTAGAAGTATTTAAGGTCAATCATTTTCTAGGCTGTCTGTTTTGAGAGGAGTTTTTATTTTTGTTATCAGAGGTTTTACTATCATGTATTATAAATAAATTAAAGTCCGTGTGTTACAAATGAAAAGCAGAACAATTTGTTGCTTTTTATTGGGCTGCATGGGGAACTCTATTCTTTAGCTTATTATTTTTCATAGTTATATGATTAGGTAAGTTGACAGGTACTGAAACCTTTGAGAAGTAGTCAGCTTGCTGCAAATAGAAATGTAACCTCCTCCCTATAGTTCATACTTTGTTAGCAAAATGGAGCTAAAGGCACTCTTTGATATGCTTTTTCCCTTTTTGTGTTCACAGAAGTAACGTGGGGTATATTACAAATATTATGCAAAGATTGGGGGGAAAATTGCACTCAAGTATACATAGTGTCATGAAAACAAAGTAAAGAATAGTGATAGATAATGAGAGGTGGGGAGGTAATAAGTCAGAAAGCATGCATCTAATACTAAGGTAATACAGCTATTTTAGTTATCTTGCTATGTAGCAATGTACCTCACACCGTAGTGGCTTAAGACAACAATAAACATTTATTATTTGACAGTTCCTGCGGGTAAGGAATTAAGAGTGGCTCAGTTAGGTGGTTCTCTTTAGGGAGTCTTATGAGATTAATATGTCAGCTGGTGCTGCTTTCATCTGAAGGGTTGCCTGGGGCTGGATGTTCCTCCCCATCATATGGAGGAGCCACACAAGTGACAGACAGGTACTGGGTATCAGCAAAAGGCTTCAGTTTGTCTCCTCCTGGGTTTCTCCAAAGGCCTGATTGAGTGGCCCCATGACATGGCAGCTAGCTTCCCTCAAAGTGGACAATCCAAGAGAGCAAGGTGCTTTTTGACTTAATTGGGAGTCATGTATCACTTATTTTACATCCTGTTCGTTAGAACAGGACAAGTCACTAAGTCCAGCCCAAGTTCAAAGAGTGAGGAGTTAGGCTTCACCTTTTAAAGGGAAACACCTCCTTAGCTTCTCCAGCTTAGCAGGATCCTGATTGAGCTTCACCTCCCTACATTGCAGTGAGGAAATTGTCCTTAGGCAGAGAGCTAGATGGCCATGGGTTATGAGTAGCCTTCTCTCAGGGATCAATGTCTCATGTTGCTGTTTTCTAATCCCCAAAAATAGTTGCTCCATATGCCTTTTGTTTTTTTGTTTTAAACTCCAATTTTATAGTTGTTTGCAACAGGCTGACTAATTTTTTCCAGTTGTTGATATATCAGACATAATAATAACTTCTCTGATGAAGAAGGATGAGTTTTTACTAATGATTCTTACTTCAATGTTCCACAGAATTTAGTTTGCTTGCCTATATGGTACCCATTTTAAATGTTTGAAGATTTGAAATAAAAGTTGTAATACAGCATTTGTCTGTTAAGCTTAGTGTTGTGTTCCGTTATATCTGCTGCTAAAGGTTCCTTGCAGTGTGTTTCTGTTTGTTTCTACAACCTCAATGAGGTCTTTGGTAAATTGCATTTAATAGAAATTATATTTAATGCAAAATACATTATGTTCTTTCCACAAACTGAAAATCACTTTAAATCAGCATTGCTATTACTTTGACTAGGTATTTTAACTCAATTGTCTAGAAATTCTATTTGGAGAAAAGCTTATCTGACTGGCTTTTTTCTGGATCTGTGCTATGCCTGAGTTGCTATTATGTGCACATGTATACCCATGTTCTTTGTTATTTTTCTTTAGGATTCCAGACACTTGAATTTTCTGACATCAGAACAAGCTCTGGCTGATTTTGCAGAGTTAATCCAACACTTGAAAACAACAATCCCAGGAGCTGAAAATCAACCCGTCATTGCCTTGGGGGGCTCTTATGGTGGCATGCTTGCAGCCTGGTTCAGGATGAAATTTCCTCATATGGTGGTTGGGTAAATGAATTTATGTTGAGCATGCATACTTCTTAATGATTGTCAAGCCAGACTTTGAGATTTCTTTTGGGTAAAACATGCTCCATTCTATTGTACTGAAATTTCTAATTTCTAGCTCATTAACAAGCTGTTACTTTTCTCACCATTTTTGTTCAATATCAGTTTCCATTTTAAAACTTAAATTTGATGAGTTACATTTTTTTTTTCTTTTCTTTTCTCCTTCCTTGTTTTTCTTACCATTTAGAGCTCTTGCAGCCTCTGCCCCTATCTGGCAGTTTGAAGATCTGGTACCTTGTGGTGTATTTATGGAAATTGTAACTACAGATTTTAGGAAAAGTGGCCCACATTGTTCGGAGAGCATTCGCAGGTCCTGGGATGCCATTAATCGACTCACAAGAACGGGTAAGCTTTAAGAGAATGGAATCCTGGGTGTTTCTTACCTTTCACTTGTTAAATTCAAGGTTTCCCATTTTTTCAGTTTACTTTTTATTTAAGTATAACATACATATTTAAATATAACACACAGAAAATTACACAAATCAAAATACACAGCTTGATGACTTTTCACAAAGCGAATATGTAGTGTAATCAGCACCTAGATAAGAAATCCTCTTGTGCCCTTTACAGTCACTGCCTCTGTATTTCCTAGGCTAATCGCTATTCTACCTTCTAGAATCATAGATTAATTTTGCTTGCTCTTGAATTTTTTAGTAATTGGAATTGCATAGTATGTATCTTTTATGTTTGCTATCTTTTGCTTAGTGCTATGTTTGTCAAATACATCCATTTGTTTTATTTAGTTGTAGTTTATGCATTCATGCTGCTCTATAGTGTTCCATTTGCTTACTTATTTATTTATTTCAATAGTATCCTTAAAACGGAATAATTCAGCATACTAATTATGGTAAGCTCCATGAGGATAGGCAACTTGCATATCATGGGGTTGTCCAGTTGCTCTAAAAATATCTTATTGAATGTTGACAAAGTAGTGTTGGAGAAATGGTATAGAAGATTGAATTTTCTAAAATACCAGGTGAATAGAAAATGATCTATAAAGCCTTATGTTTAGCAGCACTTTTCAGATTTCAACATTGTGATTCTATTCTCAGGTACTGGCTTGCATTGGCTTTCAGAAGCCCTTCACTTATGCACCCCATTAACAAATCCTCAGGATGGTCAACGTTTAAAAGACTGGATCTCTGAAACCTGGATAAATCTGGCAATGGTAGACTACCCTTACCAGTCTAACTTTTTACAGCCTTTGCCTGCTTGGCCAATTAAGGTAATAGGAAAATGTCCTTTCGTTACTTTTTTTTTTTTAATGAGTATGTTAAGTTTTGTTTATTTTGTATCTCTCTTCATTCCAAAAGAACTGGAGCAAGATGTGGAACAATGTGTTTGTTTTCTTTTCCACTTCTAATACTTTGTTATACTTTTCTTAAGCTTGTATTTGTTTGTTTTTTGACATGCAGAATCTTTTTGTTTCTTTTAAGTCAAAATAATTCCCCCTTTTGCAATTTCTGATTATTTTTAGGCTTAAAAAGTCTTTTAGTAATCAAATATTCACTTGTATTTTCTGGGTTTTTATAGTTTTATGTTTCCAGAATTTTATCTGAGATTGATTTGATGTATGGTACAACATAATGCTGTAGATTTTCACAGTAGTTAACCAGTTGTCCTAACATTGTAATCCATTCTTTTCTCTGATTTGTGCAGCTCTTTTAGTCATTTACTATTGCTAGGCTGTTTTGTTCCATGTATCAGAAATTTGCAGCTTACCATGCGTTTTTATTTTTCTTTTCTTTTTTTATTTTTATTTTTATTTTTTTATAGTGAAATAAACATTTTTTAAATTACTTTCAGCTGTACAACACAGTGCAATAGTTATACTTTTTATAGCATACTTTTCATTTGTGTGTGTATGTGTGCGCATGAACACATTCTCTCTCTCTTTCCGTCTCTCTCTCTCTCTCTCTCTCTCTCTCTCTCTGACTTTCAACATCAAAAGAAATCCCAGTGAGAAAGGGGCTCTGGAGTTAGTCACAACTGGGCAGGAATCCTGGATTCTCTCACTTTCTGGTTACTGAGCCTTGGACATGTTCCCTAACTTTTCTGAACCTCAGTTTCCTTATTTGAATAATGGAGATAAAATGCATAGATTACAGAGTTATATGAAGTAGAAATAAGACCAATAGTTGCTGTTAATGGAATAATCACGATGTACCAAGTCCTGTGATGTGCACTTTGCATATATAATTTTTGTAGTTTTTTTTTTAAATAATAAAAATAAACTTTACTTAAGTGTACATATGATTACCAAACCATTAAAATAAACACTTCTATTTAATTCTCTTGAAATTATGCAGAATCTAAAATTTCATATTTGAGAATTGAATTATTTTCTAAAATATTATCTTTATTGAATTATTTTAAGGTTTATATTCTATTACAGAAATGAAACTAAATTGAATAACTCTAGCCCCTGAAATTAGACTTCAGTCATATCTTTTGTTATGCTATTCTCTTTATCTTAGTCAGATTTTTTTTTTCTAATTTGGCAAGATCACTTTTTTTTTTTGAAATTGCAATTTTAGTGGAAATGTCTTTATTATTGTACTTTTATTTATTTTTATTTTTTTATTTTTTTATTGTGAAATAAACTTTTTTTTAATTAGTTTCAACTGTACAACACAGTGCAATAATTATACTTTTTACCCCTCAAAGTGACAATCTCCTTCCCCCAATCCGCCACCTGACTTCTCCCCCCCATATCATACATATCTATTACAATTCCCTTGACTCCACTCCCACACTATACTCCACATCCCATGACTCTCTATATGTATTCACCTATAGTTGACGTACAATATTATACAACATCAGCTTCAGGTGTGCAGTGCAGTGATCAAGCCTCTACCCTACCCATGAAGTGGTCCCCTTAACAAGACATGTGACCATCTGACACCCTACAAAATATTTATAACATTATTAATTATATTCCCCGAACTGTCTTTCATGTCCCTGTGGCAATATTGTAGTTATGTATTTGTGCTGTCTAACCCCTTCCCCTTCTCCCTCATCACCACTCCCTCCCAACTAGCAACCATCAGTTGTTCCTCTGTGTCTCTCAGACCACTTCTGTTTACTTTGCTCGTTCATTCAGTTTTTTAGATTTCACATATAAGTGGGATCATATGGTATTTGTCTTTCTCCGACTGACTTATTTTACTTAACATAATAGTCTCTAGGTCCATCCATATCATTGCAAATGGTACGATTTCATTCTTCTTTATAGTGGAGTAATACTCCATTGTATAAATATACCACAGTTTCTTAATCCAGTCATCTACTGATGGGCATTTCGGTTGTTTCCAAGTCTTGGCTATTGTGAATAGTGCTGCAATAAACATAGGGGTACATATATTTTTTCGAATTAGCGTCTTGGGTTTCTCTGGATAGATACCCAAGAGTGGAATTGCTGGGTCATACGGTAGTTAATTTATGTAATTTTTATGATGTATGTGAGACACATAGAGCTATTAATATGTCATCAGTTTTTAGTAAGTAGCAGCTGCTATCATAATGCTATGTTATGCTGCTGCGCTTACTGCTTACACATTCTAAGTGCTACATGTATCATAAAGGGGCCATCTAATGCCGCAAGGTGGAGTGGAAAGAGCACTGACTCTGGATCCTTTATCCAGAATTACCGTTCAGTAGCTGCGTGATCTTAGGCAAAGCTCCCTTCTACCCAAGCCTTCATATCTTCCTCTGCAGCATGAGATAATGTCATTCTTACATTCTCAATAGGATTATACTGAGGATCAGATAAAATACTGGATGTGAAAACACTCTAGAAAGTGTAAAGACACATTACACTGTAAATTTTTTTTTTTAACTTAGGAATGTCTTTATTCATAGACATTCAAGTAAACTATATTGTTTGTACCAAGTTGTTCAGACTTGTTTCCTGATCTTTTTACCTCAAAGGACTGGTGGGAAATGGTCAGTTGGGGTTAGAGGTACTGCCTTTGACACAGGATGCTTCTATACATTTGATCTGGAGCTCTGAAGTTTTCTATAAACTCTTAATTTTGGAATACTTTTAGACCTACAGAGAAGTTGTAAAGGTCGTCCAAGGGAGTTCTCGTGTCCCCTCACCCAATTTCAGTTTTTCCCTAACGTTCTAACATTATCCCTAACATTACTGTGGTATGCTTGTCAAATCTAAGAAACCTGCATTGGTATGTACCATTAACTCGTTTGTCTATTAATGTGCTTCTGTTCCAAGAGCCAATCCAGAATGCCACATTGCGTTTAGTTGTCTTTTCTCCTTAGTCTCTTGTGGTCTATGATGGTTTCTCAGTCTTTGCTTTGTTTTTCATGACCTTGACGGTTTTGAGGTATATGGAGGTATGTTTTAGAACATTTCTTAGTTTGGATTTGTCTCATGTTTTTCTCATGATTGGGGTAACAGGGGAAAGAAGACCACAGAGGTTGTCTTCTCATCACATCTTGGCAGTTAATGATCCCCACATGACATCACTGGTGATGATAACTTCCATCGTTGGTTAAGTGCTGTCTGCTAGGTTTGTCCATTGGAAAGTTACTGTTTTTTTCCTTTTCATACGCTATTTTTTCAAAGTAAGTCCAGCCCTTACTCAGGAGAGTGGGGATTTAGATCCATCTCCTGGAGGGGAGAATATATATATTTGGAATTCTTCTATAAGGAAGATTTGTTTCTTCTCCCTGTTTATTCAGTCATTTTTTTTATAACCATATGGACTCATAATCTAATGCAAGGTAATTTTTCTGTTATTCAAATTATTCTAGCTTTGGCCATTGGGCACTCTTTCAGATTGGCTCCTATATGCCTTTATCATGCCCCATCTTTTTTGTTTTTTTAAGTTAAATTTATTGGGGTGACAATAGTTAGTAAAATTACATAGGTTTCAAGTATACAATTCTATAATACATCCTCTGTGTAGCACATTTATACCATAAATGTTAAGCTTCTTTTTGTACCAGAACTGTTTATTGTATGTGCTCTTCTTAAAGCATTCCTTTGTAAAGAACACTTCTCTTACTTTTAAAAGCAAAGGCTGGCCAACTTAAGCTCAACTAAGAGGTGGTGGATGTGGGATTTGAACTCGGGCCTACCATTGTTCAGAGCCTATGATCTACCACATTGTGCTGGATTAGGAGAAGATTTGACTAAAGGTTTGGGTGGATTGCTGGCCACAGTGTGACAACTATCAGATTTAATTCTGTATTCTGCAAACAAAGTGAGGATTACATTTTGCATCTTTATGCCCACTGGAAGAACAAATGAATTGTCAGATGATAAAAACATATGGGGAATTCCCGTGTTCTTTAGAACAGGGATTGGCAAACTTTATCTATAAAGGACGAGATAGTAAATATTTTAGGCTTTGTGGGCCATAGGGTTTCTATGACAGTTACTGTGGGTGTAGTGAGAAAGTAGCCATAGACAAGATGAGTGAATGAGGATGACTGTGTTCCAATAATACTTTAGGAACAAAACAGGGAGCAGGATGGACTTGGCCCCCTGGGGGCTGTAGTTTGCTAACTGTGATTTAGAAAAGAAGCCAGAGGAATACAGCTTTTTAGTGTTAGTTCGTTTATGAAATAGAACAGCAAACAGCCTAACTTTGGTTTTCACCTCACTTCTTTAATATCCCTGTTGAGTCCTAAATGTAAGTAAATATTTCATCCTTTCTCTCTCTTAAATACTCATTTAAAATGAGTGAGTATATCTCAAATGTTTTGTCATCTGTTTTGATTTAGCACAAGCCTTTCATCTTTTGTGTATATATATTATAAAAGTTTATTTTTAAGGCAAGATAACTTTGTGTCTTTGCCACACAATCACCTTTTATTTCTTTTATCCAGGACTAGTTCTTGTCATTTTCTTCGGTTATTTCTTACCAATTTTATCCTTCCTTTTGACATATTAAGGAATTCTTGATTGCTTGTATTTATGATTCTGTGTCCTGCTTTTACCCCACCAAAAAGAATCTTCTCTCTTTGCTTCTTGCTTGAGAAACTTCCATTGCCTACTACATCTGTCCTCAGTTTCAGCCTATCTGATTTCAGAATTTTTCCACTACATGTCTCCCTCCCAAACCTTTAGCTTCAGATCACTTTCTTTCACTGTTCATTCTATTTCTCCTTTCTTGACCCCCCTCTCTGTCCTCCCAACCCACTAATCCCTGGAACACTACCCGGTTGGGGACCGCTCTTTCACTTGGATAGTTCCAT